AATGATGAGAGAGAATCATGGGTTGGCTGCCTCCTGCATGCCCCCCACTGGGGATCGAGCCCGCAGCCCGGGCCTGTGCCCTGAGCGGGACTTGAGCCGTGACCTCCTGGTTCAGGGGTCAATGCTCAACCACGGAGCCACACCGGCCAGGCGGGTTGTTGGTTTCCACACAGAGGGACGCACACACAGGGAGGGGACACTCGGGGGTCCGGGCAGAGCCGGGTCTGGCTGAGTCGCCTGGACGTCCGAGTGGCCATGGTTCTCCGTGGCTGCCCTCCCCTCCTCTGCACAGGAGGTCTTGGCTGCAAGCATGGGTTTTGTAAACTCGGCTTTGGGGTCTGACCGCCATGGCTGGAGGGGTGGGTCACTCTGGCCCTGGTGAGGGCCCACGCCCACACCTAGGCCCTGCCGCTCGGAGAGGGCCCAGCAGGCAGGGGTGGGAGTGGGCAGAGCCAGTGGTGGCGAGGCATCCAGGGGGAGGGGGCTGGGACCCCTGGAGGGGACCCGCGTGGATGGCCAGCTGCCTGGAGCATCCGGAACTTGGAGAGGGGGCAGCCTTCTCCGAGCACCGGCCTGGGCCACGGGGCAGCTCAGCGGGGGGTGGGGGGGTGCCCCGTGGCCGTCACTCCAGCAGGCACGGGCCCTGGGCCACCCTCCACCGAGCCCAGCTGTGGCTTCAGGGCCCCGGAAACAGCTCTAACCCCGACCCCAACCCCATCTCCCCAGCCCAGACCCCATGCCTGCCCCCGACAGGCAGCCATCCCAGCCGCTCGCCCGGGACCCGCTCCAGCCCTGGGACAAGGCGCTCACCAGGGTCTGGGCCGGCAACCTCCGGGCCTTCGCCATGGTTACGGCCCACCCACCGCTCTGCTCAGAGGCGGGCATTGTGCGGGCGCCGAGCATGGCGAGCGCCCAGGAGCCGGCGGGCACAATGGCCCTGGAGCTGAGCCCTTTCCCACGCTCTGGCCTCTCCCCAGCCCTGGCTTCGGCAGAGGGGAAACTGAGGCCTGGACAAGTGCGTTAGGAGCCAGGGCCTCCTGGGGAGGGTGGGAGGCAGGGCTGTGGCAGTCAGACCCCAGGGCAGCCCCGAGCCGTGGACACCCCATCTGGCTGCAGCCTCACCAGCTCCCTCTGCCTCTGCTCCCGGCCCCAGCAGATGCCCTCGCGGCCCCAAACCTCTGCCTAAGGGCCCTCTCAGCTCCGTCCTGGGCACAAGCCTCCCCTGCAAATTGCCACCTTCCCCCGCTCCTCCCCCCCAGCGGGAGGGCATGTCCCCTCGGCCATCCACGCACAGGCCAGCTTCCCTTTGGAGGCGTGCCCCCCCGCCCCGTGCGCTGGTCTTGGGGTGCAGCGATCCCGGCTCTGCCTCCCTCCTGGGGCTGAGGGCCTGGAGGGGCTCCGTGTCACCCTCTCACGTGGAGGGCAGCTGAGGACAGGCCTGCGGCGCCATCGGCTGCTCAGGCGTGAGGGCGCGAGGACAGGCCCAGGGCTCCGCCTGCCGCCGGCGGCCGCCACACGGCTGTGCCCACACCCGGAGAGCGATGGCCGCGCCCGCACCCACGGGCACAGGACGGTCGGCGCTGCCTGCTGACCCAGGGGAGCAGCGGAAGCCGTGGTGCCAGGTGCCAGGTGCCAAAGAAAAGGCCAACCCAGACCCAGCGGGGCCACCACTCGAACATGACGGCGAACAAAGACGTTTCCAGATTCTAAAAGTCCACGAGAACGGGTTGCTAACAGACGCTCACAGGAAACACGGAGAGAGGTGCTCGGGCCGGGGAGTGACAGGAGGGGACAGGAATCCGAATCCGGGAGGAGAGGGCCCAGGCACAGCCGCTCCGGGAAGGCGCCCGCCGGCGTCCCCAGTCGGAGCCTGGGCCGAGGCTGCCCCCTGGTGGAGGCGCGGGGACCAGGCGAGTCCAGGTGCAGGAACCCGCCTGGACCTCAGTGGCCGGTTCAGAGCTGCCCGGGCCCCTCCTCATGGAGCCGCTCTTCACGCCCCTTGGGCACCGGCAGCAGGGGCCCGGGGACCCCACTGGTTAGTGGGAGAGGGGCCTCGGCCCTGGCCCCCCCCGGGGTGGGGAAGCAGTGTCCGGCCCCCGTCACAGGGGCCAGTCCAGCTGGGATGGGAGTGTGACTCTCACCGATTCCCAAGACTTTCCACCAAAACCCTAAGCCCAGAGGGAAAATACCTCACAGGCAACTTTTATATGATTTACAAGTTGAAATGACAATACTGTGGAATATATTGGGTCAAATATATTATTTTTTTAAGTACCTGGCTTCTTTTTTTAAAAAAAATATTTGCATTGATTTCCGAGAGGAAAGGAGAGGAGAGAGAAACACCAATGATGAGAGAATCACAGATCGGCTGCCTCCTGCACGCCCCACCCTGGGGATCAAGCCCGCAACCTGGGCCTGTGCCCTGACCGGGAATCGAACCCTGACCTCCTGGTTCATAGGTCGATGCTCAGCCCTGAGCCGCACTGCCAGGCCGGGAGAACATATTGAAATTAACGCCACCTCCTGCCTTGGGAGGGCCGTCACCATGTGGCTCAAGGGCTTGCTGGGAAGATTACCCAGACGGCTCCCGGGAGTCAGCAACCTGGTGAGCTGGCCTGGCCGGCCGAGGGGCCAGGCGGGGAGGAGGGTCAGTGTGGCCCGAGGTGGGGGGCTGTGGGCAGCCGGACATGGGCGGGCTGGGGTCCGAGCCTGGTGGGTGAGGGGTGGAGGGCCAGGGCCAGGAGGCCGGGCGCCGTCCTTTCTCCACCTCTAGCCCTCGGGGACCCTCCTGCGCTCACCTGAGGGCACCCCATGACAGCAGGAGCCATGGCGGCCACAGGCCCGTGGGGTCACTGTGCCCTGAGGGCAGGAGCAGCAAGAAGGGCCTGGGCGGGCAGCTGGCACCAGGACTGTCACGTCAACAAGATGAGGGTCCTGCTGCCTTCAGGGCGGGCAGGAGCCCCGAGCAGGGCATGGCCAGGCGGTGCAGTGCCAGCAGGAAGGACCGCAGAGGGCAGCCCTGCCCACAGGCGCCCGATTCCCTGGGAACTCGGTGCCCGCAGCCCACCCGCCGCTCAGCTGCCCGCAGCAGACGTTCAGGGCCTGCGGCTGGAAGCCAGCGGAGAGGAAGGTAAGGGTGCCCAGCCTGGCCCCGGGAGCCCACTGGTCCCTGGGGAGACGGGACCCAGGCCAGCCCTGAGCCCTGCGACGTGTGGGGGCCGTGCTGACCCGCTCTCGGGCAGCAACCCCGTGGCTGGAGCCTGGAGGACTCGTGTCTGTTTCTGGGCCCCTAGGAACTCGAGGCTTCTGTGTCACCGGCACCTGGGCCAATAGCAGGGCTGAGGCCGGGCCAGCTTGGAGGGGAGGTGGGGTGGGGAGCCTGGTGCTGGCTTCTGCTGGCTGTGGGCACGGGCCCCCTCCCAGGGTCTGGGGCCCTCCTCCCAGGAGGGTGTAAGGTCTGGGGGCCCCCCTCCCAGGAGGGTGTAAGGTCTGGGGGACCCTGGGCCCCCACCACCCTCTGGGCCGAGGTGCCCGAATGCCTCCGTATGAGACGGTTCCCTAGACTCCAGCCTGAGCAGCGCCTGAGAGCCTGGGACCGGTCCCCGCGGGAGCTCCCGGCCGGTGAGAGCAGGTGCCCGGACCCAGCGCCTGGCGGGAGGACCCAGCGCCTGGCGGGAGGACCCAGCTGCCGCCCCAGCGGTGTGAGCTTTGCCGCAGGAGGGGCCCGCGGCTACTTGACACATTTCACATTTCAGGGAGGCGTTCCTGGCGCTGCTGCCTGGGCGGCTCCCTCCCTCCCTCCCTCCCTTGGGGTGATTTCCGATGCTGGGTTTTTCCTCTCCTCCCGCTGCCAACACTCGTCCGCCACAGCGCTCCACCCCGAGCACACGCCGCCTGCCCGCTCTGCGCCCTTTCCGCCAACTCCCCCCCCCCCCCCCCCGCCCCGCTTTCCCATCTTCACGGGTCTGAGGGCCAGGCCTCCCAGGCCACGCCTGTCATCTTCCTTCCAGCCTGCGTTGGCTTCTCCCAAAGCCTGGGCCTGACCGGCCTGTGTGGTTCAGGGCAACAGCTCGAGGGGCCGAGCGCCTGGGCTCCTGAGGAGCGTGGGGCCCGGGCCGGACCTCGCAGCCTCCGGGCCTCAGCGTCCCCACCTGGAACAGGGGCCCAAGAACCCGTCACTGCGATCCGGGCTCGGCCCTGACTCCACGGAACCTGCTACGCCGCCTGAGAGCTCCCACCACATGCCTGTTCCCCCCGGTCCTCCCTGGAAGTCTCAGGTCGGCCTTCTCTGTGCGGGATGGCGCGGCGGACAGGGACCCGGAACCAGGCCCAGCCACCGTCAGGGCGGACGCGGCCCCTCACAGGGACAAGGGCCCGTCAGCGGAATGAGCCTTGGGGGTGGGGGTGGGGCAGCTGCAGGAGAAATGACCCCTGGGAACGATTTCCAGACACGAACCCGTTTGCCTGAGCCAGACGTGAGGCGGGTGCTGAGCCCACCACCTCCTGGGGGGGGTGTTGGGGGCCAGATGTAAGCTGGCAAGGTCCTTGCACCTGAAGGGGCTCGCAAGGCTGGGACCCTTACCCAGTTTTCCCAGACTTGTTTGGATGGCGATTATCAGTAGAATAGGAGTAGCATTTGTAGAATGAGAACAGCCTTTCATAGCTTGCCCAGAAGTCTACCTATTTACTGAGATGCTGTACTGAGAACTTGTCCTTCTGCTCTGTCTCTCCCTCAGAGATTAAGAGGAACAAAGAACACATTCCTCTTGACAGACTCCGATTCAGTGTGTTGTGTATAAATAGGATTGCATAGCTAATAAACTCGCTTCAGTTCAAGAGAACTGGGGTCCTCCCGACCCCGCTTTCCTGTCTTTCTTTCTTTTCTCAATTCCCACCTCCCTGCCTCAGCCCGGCTCAACCCTGTCAGGCTGGCCCTGACGGGGGGGGGGGGGGGGGGGGGCAGGCCCTCCGGGGGAGCCGCCCGCTCACCTGGGCCCACCCCAAGCCGGCACCTCCCCAGCCCTCCTGCCCAGCCCTGTGCTCCGGGAAACATTTCGGGAACATTTAAAAACAAAACATTTTTCAACCAAACCTTTAGAAGCACAGACCGCGCCCAGAGCCCGTCCGCCTTGAAACCCGACACTGACACCCGCTGGGTGAGTCTGTGCCCAGTTCTGAGACCAAGATGTTCTGGGATCTACCGGCAGCACCGTGCCGCCCGCAACAGACCCGCGACGGCACCGCTCCGCCCGGGTCCCCTCCCAGCTGCGCTCGCTGCTTTGAGATAAAGGGGCCCGGCCAGGCTGGCTGTGTGGACAGAGCGTCGGCCCAAGGACCGAAGGGTCGGGGCTCGCTTCCGGTCGAGAGCGTGCACCTCAGCTGCAGGCTCATCCCCAGGACGGTGTGTGGGAGGCACCAATCCATGCCTCTCGCGTCGCTGTCTCTCAGTCTCCCCCCCCCTTCCACTCTCCAAAAAGCCAACGGGAAATACCCGCAGTGAGGATTAACCAAAAAACTGAAATGAAAAGGGATCCCCTCTCAGCCTCTCTACTGGCACCTTCCGGGGGAAGGCCGGCGGCGCTGGCTTGTTCCGAGGCATCAGCCTGCGGCCAGGGCACCCCGTGGGAGGCCGGCACCCCGTGGGAGGCCGGCCCCCCGCTCGGCACCTGCTGTCCTCCAGCCGGGAGCCTGGCTGTCTGTTTGGATCAGGCCGTGCGGAGCCTGGTGCCCTCGGCGGCGTGCACCCTTCCACAGAACCTGGCGGGCGAGGGCGCCCCCTCAGGCTGCTCCCGCTGCACCCCGCGTGAGCTGAGGGTCCCGGAGAACAGGCGCCCAATGAGGCGCCCCAGCTGGTGGCCAGTCCCCCAACACGGCCCCAGCCCTGCCTGTGAGGGTGCCTCCTCCCGTGGGGAGGCCGGGTGTCCCCTCCAGGCCAGACGTGGCGGCCACCCGCCACGGTCCCCTCCCGTCCCAGCTGGGGGGGGCGGCCGCCTGCCTCATCATCGGCACTGTAGGCAGAGTCAGTGGAGGGACCTACTACGTGCTCCTCCCTCAGCATCCTCTGCCTGCATTTTTGGCAGCAAAAGGAACTGAAATTCAGTTCTGTGAAAACCTCAGTAGAAACCCAGGAACCCCACTTCTGGGTCTACACCCGAAAGAAGCGGGGGCAGGACTTGGGCAGCTGCCTGCACACGCGGGGCCACGGCGCACAGCCAGCAGCGACAGGGGGCAGCCCCGCGGCCTCGGACGGGAGGGAAGGGGGTGCACACCACGCGGTCCATCCTGACAGTGGACGTGACTCAGCCTAGACAGGAGGGAACTCTGACCCGCTACCAGGTGGACGGGCCGGAGGACACACTCGCTCAGACAGGAAGCAGAGGCCGGCCAGGGTGGGTGGGGGGCGGGGTCGGGGGTGTGTGTGTGTGTGTGTGTGTTCATGGGGCAGAGTCCGTTCGGGAAGACGGAAGGTTCTGGGATGGTGGGACGGCGATGTGAGTGTGCACGACGCTACCGACCGGGGCTAAGCATGGTCAGGATGGTGAATGTTCCGTTATGGGTATTTTAGCCCAGTTTTAAAAGGGATCAAAATGAACGCCCATTGAAACTGTCCCTCCAGCCTCCAGTTCATCCAAGAAAATGTCTTCATGGGCGAAGGGCTTTCTCCTCAACAGGAAGGCCAGCCACCGAGTGACAACATGAAGAGCCTCACCACCATCATCATCATCATCACTGCCTGAGGTTTTAGCCGCCGCCTCCACACCTGCCCAGGGACTGGCCCCGCCTCCAGCTCCCGCCCAGCGGCTGGCATAGCCCCTTCCCACCACGTCCGGAAACTGACCGGCAGGAGGGAGTGTGGGCAACGCACCCATGCGGACCAGTCATCGCTCCAAACGCCCATCCCGGAGAAACAGCGTCTCAGGTCGGTGACGTGGGGCAGCCACGCTCCCCTCTCGTCCTCCCCGGTCTGGGAGCGTGTGTGTGTGTGGGCGGGGGGGGGGGGGGTAGAAAAGGCTGCAGCTGATCAATAACGAGCAGTCACCCCAGCGTGACTGGAGGAGTGACCCGTCGGGTCTGCGTGCAGGACAGGCGAGTGCCCCCCCGACGGCCCGGCAGAGGCCGCAGGAGCCGCAGGAGCGCCCCTCGGAGGGGAACACAGACGCGGGTCTCCGGGACCAGGCGGACCAGGCGGACGGAGGTGGAGTCCACTCCCTCCTGAGCACTGGGAGTCAGGGGCGAGCTGAGCCCCGACCTGGCAGCCGTCCCTGACCCCGAGCCCGGGTCACCCCGTCAGACACGGGGGAGGACGAGGGGCCTCCTGCTCACAGGCCGAGGGGGCTCTGCTGGCATCACCGCTTCTCCTTCATGCGCTCACACAAGGAAGTCGCCCTGTGCCCACGGCGCCAGGCCCGGCCCTCCACCCGGGACGAGTGGGAAGGAGACTCAAACCAAACGGGAGGCCGGGTCCACGTCTGCAGAGTCCACTAGAATAGATCCCCGGCACCGCCCTGGGCTCCGTGGGCTCTGTGGGTGCTTAATTCTTATTCTTATTTGGTCAATCCTCACCGGAAGGTATTTTTCCATTGACTTTTAAGGGAGGGAGGGAGGGAGGGAGGGGAACATCGATGTGAGAGACACAGCAATTGATTGCCTCCCCCACAGCCTCCACCGAGGTGGTGCCCTTGAATGGAATAGAACGGGACCCCCCAGTCTGCGGGCCGGCGCTCTAACCATTGAGCACACCCTCTAGGGCTTGTGGGTGCTTTAGACTGAGCTTCAAGGGCAGGCAGGTGAGACAGCCACGCTCCTCACGCTTCTGCCTTGCTCTGCCCCCCAAACGCCCGCTTCCCTCAGCCCTGTGCTCCCGGCTGACCAGCTCCAGGGCAGCCCTGCACTGGGGAGGGGGGGGGCGGGCAGGCGGGGGCAGCTCCTCCCACTGCCCCATGAGGCAGAGGCCAGGGAGCCCACCTCACCCGTCAGGCTGTGGTGCCAGCGCAGAGCACAGGACCGCTAGCCGCACTGCAGAGAGGAGACCCTCACCCTCGCCCAAAACCAACTTAACACTCGCCAGAGTGGAAATTCCTTCAGAACAGATGACGAAGGCACCGCAGCGGAATGACACCTGAGGAGCCATTAAAGGCTGAGCGGGTGTGCTGCATGGGCAGTAAAGCAGACCCTCTGTAGCCACACAGAAGGTAGAAACTCTATCCACACACAGAAGGGCGAGAAACTGTCGACACAAAGGAAGTGGAGACACGGTATCAGCGCAGAAGCAAGCAGAAGCGACGAGAAGCTGCGTCAGGACACAGGAGGGGACGCAGACACTCCTCTCCGAAGGTGCAGCGATCAGCATCTTGTGGTCGGTCGTCACCCGAGAATATTTTCCATTGATGTTTAGGGAGAGGAAGGGAGAGGGAAAGACAGAGAGAAACATCGATGTGAGAGAATCATCAATGGGCTGCCTCCTGCACGTGCCCCAACCAGGGCCCGGGCCAGGAAGGAGCCTGCAACCAAGATACATGCCCTTGACTGGAATCGAACCCGGGACCCTCTGGTCCACAGGCCGGCGCTCTATCCACTGAGCCATACTGGCCAGGGCTGTATCAGACATTTCAAAAGGAAAGAGGACGGACAGTGTGACACACACACAACCACGACTGTGCGAACAGCAGGGGGAGGTGCAGAGCACCAGCCACCAGCCAGGGCAGGCCCTGCGCACACAGCCCCTCCCTGCGGACAGGCACAGGCCCCGGGGGCCATGCTGGGGCCCAGCCACGACACGAGAGGATTTTGTAGCACAAACCACGACATCGTTAGGACTGTGGGTAAATGTGCTGACGAGGGCTGCAGGGCAGAGTTCAAGGATGTTAAGTTTATGGAACTGTTCAGTTAAATTACCCATCTGTACACACCAAGTTAAAAAATGCTATAGTTTCTGCCCTGGCTAGTTTGGTGCAGTGGATAGAGTGTCGGTCTGCAGGCTGAAGGGTCCCGGGTTCGATTCCCAGTCAGGGCACATGTTGCGAGCTCAATCCCCAGTAGGGGGCGTGCAGGAAGCAGCCAATCAATGATTCTCTCTCATCATTGATGTTTCTATCTCTCCCTCTCCCTTCCTCTCTGAAATCAATTTTTAAAATACATATATTTTTAAAATGTTAGTTTCTTAGCAGAAAAAAATACGGAGCCAAATGTCTCCCCAAGATACTGCCCTGTGGGCGAGGGGAAGGGCAGGAAGAGGGAGCTCTCGGCACAGGCCCCCCCCAGCCAGGGGCACGGGCTCCCCCAGACCCAGGAGTGAGGACCAAGGAGATGGGCCGCCCTCAGCGAGCACCCAGCCCAGTGGGTGTGACATCTGACATTCCAGAACAGTGACGGCGAACCTATGACACGCGTGTCACAGGTGACACGCAAACTCATTTTTTTGGTTGATTTTTCTTTGTTAAATGGCATTTAAATATATAAAATAAATATCAAAAATATAAGTGTTTATTTTACTACGGTTGCAAATATCAAAAAATTTCTATGTGTGACACGGCACCAGAGTTAAGTTAGGGTTTTTTCAAAACGCTGGCACACCGAGCTCAAAGGCTCGCCGTCGCTGGGCCAGAAGCAAACACATCTGAGTGAGGAGCTGCCAGCAGAGGCGGTGCCCAGCCATGCACTACGGCGGCTGAAGGGGCTCAGACCCTCCCTGCCGTGGACAGGGGGCCCCTTTTGAAGAAAACCAGCTGCTCAGACAGGTGACACACCTGCTCCCCACACCTGCGCCTCTGCTGACGTCACACCCTCCACCACGTGCGTCAAGCCGTACCCAGCCTCCAGGCCACCGCCGCCCAAGCCTGCCTTCCCCTCACTGCTTGTCCCCGGCTCAGCCTCTGGCCGGGACCTCCCCGCCCCTCAGACCACAGAGCTCCCCCACACAGGGCCCCCTCCAGCCGCACAGGGGGCAGACCACTGGGCAAGCAGGGGCCCCGGTGGAACCGCAGGGACCGAACCCGCAGGGACCGAACCCGCAGGGACAGAACCCATAGGGACCGAACCTGCAGTGGCCGTGGCTCTTCAGGCAGTTACTCCAACACTGGGCTCCGTCTCACAGAGAAGGTGGTGCCTCCACCACAGAGGGTGGGGCTGAGTCTGCTCCCCCAGGCCACGGCTCAGACAGGGGGAGCACCGGCACCTCACACCCAGGCCACGGCTCACACGGGGAGCACCAGGGCCTCACACCCCAGCCACGGCTCAGACAGGGAGCACCAGGGCCTCACACCTGGGAGACCTGGGAGGGCTGCTGGCAGGCGCCAGCCCCTCAGGAATTGGGTGAGGACCCAGAGCCACAAATAAGGTCAGACCTGGTGCCAAACACCACAAAATGGCGTACAGGCCTCACCAGTGACATGTTCACCGCAGAACCTGCAGAGGAACGGGAAGCAGATGTCTCGGAAGAGCCTGGGGACCCGTGGGCCGCGCCACCGGTCAGGACCCCAGACGCCCGGGGCCCGGGAGCGTGGCTGCCTTCCACCTGAGCTCACTATAACCCTGACCCGACCGCTCACCCCAACCCCCTAGCAGAGGCCGGGGCCTTTCACACACAGGCGAGGCCTCCTTTGTGCTGAGGACCAGGAATCCTACCTCTGTTGATGGTGTTTCTGAGCATGAACATGGCCGTGACGCAGCTCAGAGCCCTACTGTGTGCCCTCCTCACTGCCCTACTGTGTGCCCTCCTCACTGCCCTACTGTGTGCCCTTCTCGCTGCCCTGTGTGCCCTTCTTGCTGCCCTACTGTGCTCTTCTCACTGCGCCCGAATGACCACACGAGCAGGCGGCACAAGCAGACGTAGAATTTACTTCGTTCTTTCCTCCTCCCGTCTCCTATTAAATATCTGAAATATATTAATCTTAAAAAAAACTATTAACACAGTTCTGGCTGAATACAGGCAGCGGAGTGAGTAGCAAGTCTGAGTGCAGAATCGCAGGTCATTTTAAAAACTGGAGTGTGGGGCCCACCCCAGGGTGCCAGCTGCCCTGCGAGAGGACACCGTGGACTTCTCTGCCCCGTGAAGCTGGGAGGGACACGAGGCCACAGAAGGTGCGGGTGCAGCCCTGGCTCCGTCCGGGGACGAGGGCGAGGCTCAGCAGCCTGTCCCCAGGTCTGACCATCCCGGGTCTGACCTCGACGGCCGGCGCGGGCTCAGTCCCGCAGCAGGCTCTCGGGCTTGGGGTAGCCGAACAGCACGAAGTCGGCCTCGTAGAGCTTGTACAGCTGCTGCCGCCAGGCCAGCGGGATCTGGGCGAACCAGCCCTCCTCCCAGCTGCTGGCTGTGCGGTTCCGGTAGCTGGGCGGGAAGTGCAGCCGCCGGTCCACCCCGAGCAGCCGCAGCAGCTGCGCGGCGTCCCGGTCCAGCGTCTCCAGCTTGCCCACGAAGTCGTACTCGATCTGGCAGGGGTGGCAGAGCCGGTGCACCTGCCGCCAGTGCTCGTTGAAGGGCGCCAGCCGCTCGGTGCGCGGGTCCAGCAGGTACTGGATGAAGTTGGCGAAGGACACGCGGAGGCCGGCGCCAAAGGCCTCGCGCACGGACGCGGGCGGGCTGGTGCGGTTGGCGTAGGCGCGGAGCATGGGCACGGCGAACTTGCGGTAGAACTCCTCGTTCTCCAGCTCGAACTTGCTGCGGAAGGCGGAGATGAGGCGCACGAAGGGGTCGCGCACGAACAGGAACTTGGTGTACTTCTTCAGCTTGACCTTCATGAGGTGGCGCGAGAACTTCCCGTAGCGGCGCCAGAACTTGTTGAAGGTCAGGTGCGTGCTGGAGTTGTGCACGAACTCGCGGGGGATGTCGAGGGGGTCGCGGTAGGGCGCGCCGCGGTCCAGGAGGCTGCCACTGAGCACGATCATGATGCGCTTCCAGTTGGTGCAGGCTGCCTTGGGCACGTAGCAGTAGATGACCCCGTGGCGGTCGTCCACGATGAGGTGGTTCAGCTCGTAGTTGGGGATGTCGTCGAAGGAGCGCTCCTTGGCGGGGAAGGCGAAGCTGGCGTTGGCGCAGAAGTCCCGCAGCAGGCTCCTGCGCGCGGCCTGCGCGTCGGGCTCGGGGCCGGGCGGGGCGTGGCTGGACCAGTCGTAGCCCCGCACACTCTCCTCCAGGCCGCCCGGTGCGGGTCTGCCAGAGGCCGGTGGGGGCGGCTCCGTCTTTCTCTCGGGAGGGCCGTTCCGCTTTGGGCCGGCGCCCAGCAGCTTCTCCAAGAACTCGTCCACGTCCGACGGGAGGTCCTGCCCGGGGCTGGGGAGGGGCCCCGGCGGGTGCGGCCGGGACAGGGCCGTGTGCAGGTAGAAGTGGGCGGTGCCCACACTGTCCCAGTACACGATGATCAGCAGGATCATGAACACGGAGCCCAGCGCCAGCCACAGGCGGAAGAGCCGCGTCTTGGTCATCCTGCCACAGACGGCGGGCCCTGGCCTGTGCCCTCACTCCAGCGTCATGGGGCGGCCGACGCTCCGGGAGCTGCAAGGCAACGGAGAGCCAGTTAGCGCCCTCGGTCCCCGGCCTCTCCTGGGCTCAAGGTCAGAGGAGGCCCCGCTCAGGTCCTTCCTCCATGCTCCCCTCCAGGGGCGTCCCTCTCCCTCCCGCACCCCTCCCCGCCGCCCCCAGCGCTGGCTCCCTCAGGAGCTGTGGCTTCTCCGGGTCACGTGACCAATGCTGCTCACAAGCGCCCAAGGAGCGAGTGTGACTGACAGGTGACCCTGAGGGAGGAAGGCCGGCCGGGCGGCCGCTGGCGGGACGTCCCCAGGCGAGAAGAGGACCCGAGGGTCCGAGTCCAGTGGCGGCGGGACGGCGAGGCCACAGGCCTTTCTGGACCTTCCCTCCTCCAGATGTGCGGCCGGGAGAGCTT